AGTTAACCAAATTCTTAGCTATTTCACTAGTATTACTTCTATTCTATCGATTGAGCACAAGAAATCGCCAAGTCAACTGTTTCAACTATAAAATAAAGTGATTGGAAGTTGGTAATTTGGCCAATTTAACACTAAGTTCAAAATATTCCAATTTCAAAATAGGGTCCAGAATAAACAATATAGGTATTCCTGGCACTAAACTAACATTTCCTCTGTTCATTAGTTATGTTTTGAGGCTTTACAAATAAATTCCATTTTGATTTTTTATTCACATAATGAATTTTTATTCACACCAAAAAATAGAAAATTTACTGTTATGCAATATTGTAATAATTGTATAAATATCATCACCACATTTGTGAATGTATAATAGACCCACCAGCTGGTGTGTATTAGACGTGTGAGGCCATTTGTTTACTCCTGAACATCGGCAAAAATTTAACATTTCCACTACTTTGAGCTCAGTTTCAAGCCATTTCCAGTGCTAAAACCAATCAAAATCATCTCTATTTCTGTAATATGTCTTCCATTCTATCAAATGAGACCAAGAAATCGCAAATACAACTACAAAAACATATGACAAAACACTGCAAAGTCGATGTTTTAATCGAAAATTACGGTCTCAGTTTTTTTTTCTCTCATTATACACAGTGTGTTGCAGGATTTGTTTTATGTGGTGCACACATACCACATAGATGTATTCTCTCATATCTAAGCCCAAATTTACCACTCACAGTTTATCAGACTGAGCTGAGCTCATGGCATAGATCTACGGTTTGGACCCTGAACGTAAAGCTGTAGATCTACGGGACGGACCCTGAAAGGGTTAATGAGCTGCAAGAAAAGTTTTGATATGGTTGACTACAATTCTCTTGTTCACAGGCTTGATCAATACAGACTCAAAGGCCACACTTACACATTTTCAGTCATACCTCTGTAACAGACATTGTGCAGCAATAACACTTCATCTAGTACTCTACCAATGAATTTGGGTGTCCTCCCAAGGTAGCATTCTGGACATTCTTTTCCTCATCAATATTAGTGACCTACCTAATGTCCCCCAAGAACTGAAACCTGTACTCTGCTGATGACACAACTTTTAATATATTTGGTCCAGACTTTTGCCCTTTCTTCCCTTCCTCTCCCTCCTGTTAGCAAGCACTGTAGCTAATGATGATCTAGAAATGATCATCACCAGGATAATTACCAGCAAACATGCCCTTACTATTAAAAAGAAAATATTTTGCACATTCTGGAAAGACTACCGCATTTCACAGCTTATTAGACGCAGTTTTTCATTAAATGTCTCCAAAAACTACCCTGCGTCCTATAAACGGAAGGTCAGTGATGGGAGCTATAAGTTTTGGGTGTGGGGTGGGCTGTAGCTCTCCCAGCTACATCTAACGCCGAGCCATTGAAACTAAAACAAGTCTTGTAAGCCATGAAATATGGTATATTCTCAGTTAGACATTAGAACTGATGACTCTGTTATAGTAAAAAGATGAGGAAATTCTGGTCTACTTGTTTACAACAAACTGAAATTTAATGCTCATATCCAGCAAATTTACACATAAGTATCTAAGACAGTAGGGGCTCTCAGGAAAATTTACTGTTATGTTCACTACTTTTCTCTCATCAACTATGTATACATAATACATGTTGGGATCTAGTTTGGCAGCTCGCCTCAAGCCAGTCATCACCCAACAAAGGCAGTTCTCGCAATAGTCACAAACTCTAATTACACTGGTCAGCAATGGCTTCAATTTGTTTAAAACATGTTTCTAACTAATTATGGTATACTAAATTCAAATATGAACTTAGTTTTGCTTCAGTGTGTACAGTTTCTGTGAAATAGAATCTCACAGGGGATGATTTCATTAAGTCATTATGGAGAACGGACATCGGGTAACCTGATGATCGGTTTGACGGTCATCTACTGCTGGATGCTGGTGCCAGAGAGCAATACAGCCTCTCCTCACTTAACGATGGAGTTCTGTTCCTAAGACCACGTCGGTAAACGAATTCGTCGCTAAGTGAGGAGCATACAGTAATGATAGTGGGTATGTGTCAGTCATCTTTGATATTATTTTAATGTCACCTTTGCACCATTTATAACATTTCTGATATATTTTTAAACATTTATACAGTAGTGTACAGTATATTGTAATAAACAGAATAGAAGAAATCAGCTCTAATATACATTATTTAGGTATGCATACTGGTCAGAGAGCCCGTCGTAAGTCTGAGTCATCGGTAAACGAGTACGTTGGTAAGTGAGGAGAGGCTGTACTCAACTCTAGTGAAAAAGCCTAAAAATTGTGATGTAAATATGTTTGTATGACTATACAATTTTTTTTTGCATATCCAGTAGATGTATAATGAATTTGTTGAGAAAGATTAGTTTTTGTCATTGCATGCACCACACTTAATATCTTTGCATAATTTAATAACTCAGATTGTTAGGTAACATGTCATGTGGTTCTTCAACCTTAACCCGTTCAGGGTCCAGACCCCTGATCTGAAACTTGTCTACGGTCCAAGAATTTTGCTGCATCAATGATATTTGTGCATCAGCAATTTTGCCCACTTTGATTCCTATTTTAGGCCAGTTACATCGTTCCAGTCAAATCCTTAGTTATTTCACTAGTATCCCTTCTATTTTATCAACTGAGCACAAGAAACTACCCAATCAGCTATTTCAGTTACCTAATCAAGTGATCAAAAATTGGTAATTTGGCCAATTTCACAATTTCACACAAATTTCAAAATATTCCAATTTCAAAATAGGGTCCAAAATAAACAATGCAGGCATTCCTGGCACTAAATAACATTTTCTGTGTTCATTAGTTACGTTTCCAGGTCTTGCACATGAATTCCATTTTGATTTTTTATTCAAAAAGTATTTTTATTCACCAAAAAATATTTACTGTTATGCAGTACTGTAATAAGTGTATAAATAATATCAGAGCATTTGTGAAAGTGTATTAGACCCACCAGCTGACATGTATTGGATGCGTGACGTGATTTGTTTACTCTTGAACATCGGCAAAAATCGAACATTTCCTCTACTTTGAGCTCAATTTCAGGCTATTTTCAGTACTAAAATCAATTAAAATCATCTCTATTTCTGTAATATATCTTCAATTCTATCAAATGAGACCAAGAAACCATGAATACAACCATAAAAACCATACGAAAATACGTACACCACAAAGTCGCTGTTTTAATCCAAAAACACAGTCGCAGTTTTTTTCTCATTCACTGCATGATAGTTTTTTTTATATGGTGCACACTTACCACAAAGATGCATTCTCTCATATCTAGGCCCAAATTTACCGCTCACAGCTCATCTGAGCGAGCTGACCTCATGGCGTAGAACTACGGCATTAATCCTCAAAGGGTTAAATAGTCAACATATTGGTCACAGGAGTCATGATCAGCTCATCTAAGTTAGCTTAAAACAACTAATTTGGTTTCTGACCTGGATAAAAAGTTAAATTTTGTTGGCTGGTATTATAGGTAACATACTATGCCTTTACTCAGGCCCATGAACCTACAAAATATAAATGCCATGCATACATTCACTACTACTATGCACTCCAAATCTTTAGAACACTTTACTGAAATTTGGAAATTTGGAAATAACTAGAGAGGTATCTCATTAGAAACAAATACCTCTCTGTTACCCCTCTTGTTTGATTGAACATATGCAGAAATTCTCTGCAGTTTGAAGGGCCAAAACATATGGAATAACTTATCAGACTAACTAAAAAATTGCAACGGTGAATTTAAATTAAAGTTAAAACAAATGTTGTGTGCCTAAATACTGTAGTCCAGTTGTTTCTAACCTGTCACTTAATATTTTTATTGAATAATCTCTAATTGTTAATTAATCTTTTATTATTTCATAACTACCATTCAACCTTTTCCAATTTAGTTACTTATAAAAATTGCTTCTTTAGTTTATTTTTTTTTTTTTTTGCTGTTAATACCTTATATTGAAAAGGTGCAGGGTTAATAAAAATATTATCCAGTGGGCTGAGGAGGGGTTGTTGAGATGGTTTGGACATTTAGAGAGGATGAAGCAAAATAGGATGACTTGGAGGGTGTAGTTGTATAAATCTGTAGTGGAGGGAAGGCTGGGTAGGGATGGTCCTAGGATAGGTTGGAGGGAGGGGGTAAAAGAGGTTTTATGTTCATGGGGCTTCGATTTCCACCAGGCATGTGTCAGCATGTTAGGTTGAAGTGAGTGGAGGTCAATTTTTTTTCAGACTTGACAAACTCTTGGAGTGTAAGCAAGGCAACATTTTGTGAAGGGATTCAATGAAACCAGTTAGCCAGGCTTGATTCATAGAGGTGGGAAGTACAATTCCTGCACTCTGCAGGAGGGGCAGAGATATTTGCAGTTTGGAGGGGCATCAGAACTATAGTATTAGCACACCTATAGCAAAACAGTGATAGAGTGAATGATGGTGATAGATTTTTCTTTTTTGGATTGCCGTGCCTCATTGGGAGACAGCCAATGTGTTTAAAATAAAAATCTTGTATTAGATCTATAAGTATATAACAACTCCTCAACTACTGTACGTATAGTCTTCTAGTGTTAAGTAGTTTTAGTCCTAGTTTTAAGTTTTTATGTGAAATGCTCTGCATATTATGGGCTTCCAGTATATTGAATCATTTAGGCATAATGAATTGAAATAAATTATTATTATTATTATTATTATTATTATTATTATTATTATTATTACTGATATTAATTTTATTGTACTATTTTTGGAATCCCAAATATCTAAATACTATCACTTCCTCCATACTGTCGCTTTCCATTAATTATTTATACAACACGAGCATAATGTTTTATGAATATTGAACTTGAATTTGAAGTTGAGTACACTTGTTGCTTCTTCAGATAATGTTAGTAACGTCATAATTTTTTTATTTAACTGGCATTTCTTTAAGAGTGGTTCCTCTGTTAAAATATTTACCCATTCTTTCAGTTTTGTTAACATCTCACAACAGCAGATGGTGGTTGCCTCAGGAATTGGATCATAAACTCAGTGTTTACATCTCACAAGAGCAGATGGCAGCAGCCTCACATATAAGAATGTAAATTCATGTCCTCATGTCTTCGATAGATATTTCAGTTGTTCCTTTCATGTGCACGATGTACAGAGATATGTGCAAGTTGAAGTGAAGGTGCCGGTGTTCTCACCGCTGTTATATATGCTAATACTATCTTCCACAGTGATGGATGGCATCGCCACTTCTTGTGTTTTCAGGAAATCTTGGCGCTCAATCCATCTACTATAGTTAGAGCTGGCCCATCACTAGTGAGCCTCATAATAACTTTGGTGCATGTGCTTCATGCCACAGCAAACTTGCAAAGTCAGAGTGCACTTAGCACACTCTCACTCAGGATGGATGCCACCAAGGTTCTCAATGCTATTATGGATAATATTATGTGCAACTCTGAAAAATATGAAAAAGGTCAGTTATACTTTCCCCAGTTAAAGAGAAAATAAAAAAGTATTTACAGTGTTATCTGCATAGTACACACATATACATTCATGCATATATATACATATACGTACATATTTATAGTTTATACATAAAGGCAATTGCAAAGTCTCGTAATTACTGGATACTTTACAGCATTGGAAAAGAGAAAAGGTCAGCAGGAGGATTTCAGATCTTTGTGGCTTCCTCAATCAGTGCCAGTAACAGTTCACACAGATGTTCTTAGAAAGGCTTGTCCATGAACTGTTTATTATTAACTGTACTGTCAAGTTTTAAGCTATGTATAATCTCATGTCTGCCCTAAATGTATTGCATAATCATGGGCTTTTTCATGTGTAACTCAATCTCTGTTAATCAATCTCTGTAATTCAATTGTATCTCTGTGGAAAATAAACTTGTAATCTTATACTAAGGTGGAATTCAAATTCAGTAAGCAGCAGAGAGATTGGCACTGGCACATATCACAAGGATGTTAGAAAACTACTACAAGGTATGTGCCGGAATTTTAGAAATGTCTCGGTAACATTAATTGATAAATTAAACATTGTGCCCTCATTGTTTATTAGTATATATTAGCAAGACATTAGTATGGCTTTCACATCCTTCACAGAAGACCATCTTTGTAATCTGAGCATAGACAGCTCAAATTACAAAGAGCTGGCAGTGCCGACTTCTTTGTTAGTTTATGAATTTTGTTTACACTTCAGTGGATACTCTTACTCTAATTTCTTTTGTTGGAAGTGTTTCTGCCACTGATGTGTCCACAGAGATCTGAAAAGCTTTTGCCAACCTTAAATATTTCCAGTGTTGATTATAATATCCAATAAAGCCGAGCTGCCTTGAAAACATTTTTTTTTATATATAAATTCTGCCTCGTATCTTGATAGATATATTCACATGAACTAAGGTGTGCAAATTTTACACCAAATCAAACTTAGCTACCTAACCTAGCCTTGATAAGATTGATATACTGTAGATTAATATTACCCAACTTACCTAAAGTAAACTAAAAATTTAATATTTTTTAATATTAAAGAAACATTTATTTTTTGAGGGTCAAACTGATTTTTGCAGTTATGGAGTTATTGTAAAAATAAACATACGCTCTGTTTGTTTGGCATAAACGAGCACACTAGCTATATATGTTTTTTTGGCACTGACCCACAGAAAATACACTCACTATCACTCATTCTCTTGTTGTATTCCCAGAAGTGCCTGGACATTATAATTCAAATGATGCGCAAAACATCAAGATCTCTTCCACCCATTCTTCACATTGCAATCACTGTATTTTCCAACTCAAGAATTTAAGTTTAGCTTACCTGTTTTATTGATTTCATTTGCTGATGTTACCTGCTCACACTCCATCTACACAGTAGATCCCATAAACCATCTGTCTAATTCACTCCAGTCTAACATGCTCAATACTGGATGCTCAAGCCTCTACCACATGCAGCCTTGACACTCTTCTTTCAACCTTTACACCTTTCATCCACCTGAGATTTATACACCATCAGAATCAACCTGCCTCTCCCACCGAGGCAAGGTGACCGAAAAAAATATACTTTCACCGTCATTTTCAGTATCACTGTCTTGCCAGAGGCACACAGATAGGACAATTTAGATGTCTCTCTAAACAGCAAATATCCCAACCCCTCTTCCAGTCTCTGAAATCTACTTTTATACCAACACACAGTTTCTTATTTATATTCCTTTTTCTCTTCTATTAGTCAGCACACTGATCTCAACTATGGCATCTGCACTGCTTGCAGCCTCCTCCTTTCTGCAACATTTGAAGATCATGCCTCACACCCATATCAAAATAATAGTACTGCTATACTTGGGTATGTTTCTCTTGATCTCTTGATAAATTTCTTTGCACAGACAACTCAACATTCTGTGCACCTTTCGTATACTGTATTTCATGGATCCATCTACTGACACATCCACATCCAAACACCAACATATTCCATCCATTCTAATTTCTGAGCCAAAGTTACAGACTTGGCTTGTGTGAGAAATATTGTTTTGCCAGACTAGCCGTGAGTATTATTTTATTTGATTATGCAATATCTCCATGAAAATTAGTCTGAAGCTCACAAAATTAATGTCATTTATATTAAATGATATTAACTTCATTTAAGCTTGTGTCAATAGCTTCATTTCTTTGGTAGAGATTGGTGATTAAATGTAATTTAATAATTACACTATACATTATCTTAGCTCTATATTGTAGAATTAATTTTTTCCTGTTTTTATCAAATGCATAATTTTTGTTCATGACATTTTTTTTGCATGTATGGTGAGCTCAAATTGGTGTGGTAAAAATATATGAAGATCAGTCGTAGGCATAATAATTATTATGGTGGGTGACGCTGTGTCCAGTGTGTGTGTATCACACTCACTCACGCACTCTTCAAGGGAGATGCCTCAACACCAGTGAAGGGCTCTTCATCCAGAGAATTGGAGCTATCCTTCTCTGGATCAAATTTGATTACTTCCAATTCCCCAAGGCGCTGTATAATGCCTGAGGGTTTGGTGCTCCTAAATGATATATATATAAATAAAATAGTGACTTAGTGACCAAGACTCATGGGCTGGAAGGCATCTGTGACTTGTGGACTCTTACGAGGGTAATTTGTGAATTTTGTCAGTTATCAAGTTTAATCCAAGGAAGAGGAGGGGAGTGCTTATTCCTTGGATCAAGAGCCCCTTCACCAGCATGAAGGCACAGCCCCCTTAAATCAGGCTTGTGGTAATTGGAAATTTCTTCATTGAAGGTTCTGTAAGTTCACTGATTAGACATATTCATTTTTCTTGATTATTTTTAGTGTATAATTGATTTTTTGGGTATGTTCATTTTATGCATGTGTGGTGGGGTTATATTTGGTATTGTTAAGTTAACAATTATATATTCACTAACTGCAGTGTTCATTAAAACACTCAAATTTTTTTCTATGAAATGCATTGATTTCTTGTAGTCTATCTTTTTTTATAAACACATATGGAAAGTTGGTAGGTACACATGTCAAAATTTAAAAAAAAAAAGTATTTTTTTAAATACATATGATGGTCAATAGGATAAACTAGTGTGCAGCTATTGCCACCTCCTTCCATCCACTTAGAAAGTTTGTCATCACATTCCCTTTCCTTGCCAAGGTCACTACCTGAATGAGTAATCCTGTAGAACAGATAACCCTTGATTTTCTTTCTAGTTCAAGCAATATGTAGACTGTGTGTATGTGTGTGTATGCATTTGTTCGTTCATTATAGAAGTCGGACTTATAATGCCTGCACTCTGAAGGATTGATGTGGTTCTTAGGATAATTTGAAATGTGATGCACATTCACTTCTGGCAAGAGAGTAGCAATGGTGAGTGTGTTCCCTTTGTTGGGTCACTCCGTCTTGCTGGAAAGTGGATGGTGTTTTAAAAAATGTAGAAAAGAAGTTCAGTATGCAGGGATAATGAAGTGTGCAGTGCAACCACTTAGATAGTGTGTGTAGTGGAGGTAAAAGTTTGACAGACTTCTGGACATATGTGTGTATAGATGAGTGACTGGTATGTCAGAGTATTAGTTTGTTTAGTTAACCCTCAGTTAATGATCTAGATTGGGACTGTAGAAAACATTCATTATTTAAATTTTGTTTGACATTATTATTCCAAATATAGTTTCCCATGTAGAGTAATCAGTGTCTGAATATTGAATAGAGCAAGCACCAGGGTCTGAGTTTGTCTGAGCATCTGAGACTGCATTCTATTTATGGCTTTACTCTGCTCGCCTTATGGTGATGCGATGGGAAAACATACCCCATTGCAAGATCTTGGAAAAATAGTGCCTAGCCACTTGGACACTACCTGTGAAACCTTTGGTTTTACATTCAGACAGGGTTTCTCCATTACTTATACCCTAGAAGGGTGTTTCAGAGCCATGAATGTGAATGTTCCAACAAATATAATTTTCACTTCAAACACTGATTTGAAAGTTACAAGGAGATTACCAGGGAACTTAACCCTTTCAGAGTCCAGAATTTTGTTACTTTTTCTTATGAAATAAGAGAAGGTAATAAAACAAAAAGTATGAAATTTGATGGAAAATATATGAAATTACACCATCGTGAATTTTGCTGTGTTGGCAATATTTATGCATGAGCGATTTTGCCCACTTTGAGTCTTATTTTAGGCTAATTACATTGTTCCAGGTGACCAAATTCTTAGATAGTTCACAAGTATGCCTTACATTTTATCGATTGAGCACAAGAAACTAACCAGTCAACTACAGCCTCTCCTCACTTAACGAAGGAGTTCTGTTCCTAAGACCACGTCGTTAAATGAATTCGTCACTAAGTGAGGAGCATACCATAATGGTAGTGGATTTGTGTCAACTGTCTTTGATATTGTTTTAAACGTTTATACAGTAGTGTCCTGTATATTGAAATAAACAGAATAGAGGAAATCAGCTCTAATATACATTATTTAGGTGTAAATACTGGTCAGAGAGCCTGTCGTAAGTCCAAGGCATCAGTAAACGTGTATGTTGCTAAGTGAGGAGAGGCTGTACTTCAACTACCCAGTAAAGTGATCAAAAATTGGTAATTTAGTAATTTTCACACAAATTTCAAAATATGGTCTGGAGTAAACAGTGCAGGCATTCGTGGCACTAAAATAATATTTCCTCAGTTCATTAGATATGTTTCTAGGCTTTACACATGACTTCCATTTTGATTTTTCATTCCCTTAAAGAATTTTTATTCACACCAAAAAGTAGAAGATTTACTGTTATGCAATATTGTATAATTGTATAAATAATAATGTAGTAGGTTGGTAGACAGCAACCACCCAGGGAGGTACTACCGTCCTACCAAGTGACTGTAAAAGGAAAGCCTGTACATTTGTTTTACATGCTGGTAGGGTTGCTGGTGGCTTTTTTATGTCTCATAAACATGCAAGATTTCAGGTACGTCTTGCTACT